TAAAAATGAATGCCATGGAGCATCTATCGAGCAAATAAAATACACATTTTCAAACTGATGTTTAGTTTTTGTATGCTACCCGGAACTTGAAGCAGCATTTGTTTGATTTTTATGATGCTTGTTACAATTACAGATGGAAATTGAAACGTTCACCAAAAGTCAGGATTCTTCGGCGACAGAATTCCCAAACGCTTTAGTGGTAACTGAAAAGCCATCTGAAGCAGGTCGATCAGATTGTTCGTTTTTAGGCTGGCCTAAATCTATATATTATCTATCTCAAGTTTTGATTCCAGTTGTTTACATATCTCGCTTCTAGAACAAAAATAAGATTATACATACATCACCAGCCACTATGCCTGTTTGACAAGGCTTGTGTTTGAGATGATTGGACTGTAAATCTTTCTTGCAAAAAGTAGATCTACACAGTCTCTTAGATGCTAATTTGTCCATATTTACTCGATCGTGGATGCTGACTTGTATAACATTCATGAAGAAATGCTCACTCTGATCGAAATGTAGAGTGAAGAACAACAAAATTAAAAGATTAAGCAATTTTAATTTTTTGCTTGAAGTAAGCTTATTTGAAAATACAAAATAATTAAATCACGGGTTTCGAATTTAAGATACAAGGACCGCCAGAATTTCAATGTGTCCATAAAAAAAAAATACAATACAGAAACAGGCTACCTTAGGCTTAACTTGGATTCTAGAAGGAGGAAAAGCGAGTGGAAAACCATCAAATTCTCTAGCCATGCAAGGAAAAAGCTATGAGTCACGTCTAGTAGAGACGATCTCACTTCCAGACTTTCACTTGTAACAAATCTTTGACCTCGCCGGCTGCGCTCTTGTGACCGATACATGAACACAGTCATAAATACTTCTCTCAGCTTTCATCTACATCTGAGCAAAAGCCCTAGGCAAAATATTACATATTTACAAAAAGCGAATTAAACACAAGAACCAAATTGGCCGCTCTCAACTTTGGAGGTCTTCGAGAAAACTCGTACCCAGGCTCTCCATGTTATCGGACAAATGTTTACATCTGAGTGAGCGATACATTTGCATATTTTGCCCCCTGGCCCTAACTTTAGTCGTTTCTACGCTTCGCGTATCCTCGACTAAAAAAGAACGTGGAAACATCCAGCCATCTTGAACTTATGCTTGGTCAGTAACCCATATTTCGTACCCGTTAATTCTTTCCAGCTTTTTTTTCTTTATTCAGTCACATTTTCTGTTCACAAGCCTTTTCCATGTTTTCAATAAAAATAAATTGCTAGTTTCAAACTATAAGCTACTATACCATTTCCTTATTAACGCGTAGCCTGAAAGCTATTTTCAGCCAATTCCTTTTTAATAACAAACTGAGACCAAGTCTCAATGTACACTCTGACTCAATAGGCCACGTTTGCCGAGTGCATCTGATATTCCAACATGGCCCAAGGCTTTCACGACAAACTTGCAAATGTTCTAAGTTTCTTTTGTCCCTTAATTCCCAAAAGAGACTTGGATACAAAGAGAACACCACCACTGAAATATAGACGTTTGCCCCGAAAGCCTCGATCGGAGCCATGTTAGAGTATTGATATATCGAACGTGTCCTTGATGAAATTTTTTGTATGCTTTTATTGTTTTTAACACCCCCTTTTATCTTTTAGCGCATATTTTTACCTCATTATCTCTGTCTCTCAACATTGAACTTGGGGGCGTAAATATTAACTTGAATCACGAAGTGAAAGCTTCTTTTTATTACTCTCTGCCCACCGCCCCCCACGCTTCTCCGTTATCTTGCAAATCACCTTGCAACCTAGAATAAAAGAATCGAGTTTCTCGTCGGACCTCGATTCATCTCGCGTGGACCTCGCGTGTCTCACGCGTGATGTCTGCTGATAGAATGTGGACCGGGAGGACTGGGCCCACAGATTTCTACACGGAGGAAATCAAGGAAGTTTTTGTGGGAAGATTCTGTCTTGTATGAGGGATAATTCACCAAATACCGAACTTCTGTGGTAAATGATAGGAGTATGCATTCCTATTATCTTATAGAAAACAGACGGAAACGTGTTACTGGTAGAAATCATCCCAAAATTCTTCAACAATAGAGGTAACTACAAGCGACTCAGTCTGTTGACAACGTAAACAACTTAGAAATCTGAGCTTATAAATTATTTTAGCTTTATGTAAGGTCCATAGCAAGATAAATTCAATCAAGGTTACAGTTCAAAATGTATATTCTCAAGTGTGAGCTGGGTTTATAGAGGAAAACTTAGCGCATGGCATCTATTTGAGAAATTGTGCAAAACTTCAGTTGATGAATCCGACGCTGTCACTAAAGAGGCGCAGTAGGCCCTTTGCAGTTGAGGTCACGTGACCAAATTTTTCCTATAAAATTTTTATATTATGGGCTATGACTTAAAGAATGCCAGAAATGGAAAGAGCGCATCGAAAATATTGAAATGGCCAAGTTTGAGGCCCCTGGAATTAAAGAGTAAGTTTATACGACAGTTTGAATTTTCGGAAAATTTAGAGGATTTGTATGGAAAATGTTGCT